TTTTTTTTTTTTCCTGCTATCGGTTATATGTGTATCAGATCCTTTTTGAAGCTTCCTTTTCATATTACCTTGCTGAAAACAACAGGGAATTCCTTTTAATTGGGCATGGAGAGATCTCTTCTAAGTGAAGTTTTGAATTTTTCATGATTGTTTATTGAAAATTGAAACATTTGATCTGTTTATGCATGTAGGAAATGTTTATACAGCTTTTACATGCAGCTGTAAGATGGGAGTAGTACTGAAAGTCCCATACTGTTACATGTGATGATATTTTGATACATCTGGGAGAATGTAAGCAAGTAGGTCAGTGGATTATGACTCAATGATTTGGAGCAGAGGCAGAATTTGGGGGAGTAGTGGCAAGGCTTTGCTGGAGAAAAAGCAACAAATGGAAAATATGAATGATGACTTTGGCTAAAAATATCAATGGTAAAAGCGGAACAAAATTAAATGTATGCATATGGCCCAATGCAATCAAGTTTAACACGTCTAATGCTTGGCTTTACCTTGGGAAAAACAGCCTGTGCGTGTATGTCACTGTTTGAGTTCCAGACGAAGAGCAGCACGTGAGGGGATAGCAACAAATTTTTTGTTAGCGTGTTTCAGTTCTAACTAATTGCTAACGTAACAGCAAGAGTGCTAAGTGATTCTTTATGCATTTCTGTTAATACTGAAATACTCAGTTCTCTGCTGTGCTCAGCATAGGCATGTTATTCACTGGTAAGATTGGACCTTTTGATTAGTTGACAGATCACACGTAATGTAGAAAGCTGCTGGCGTTTTACATTCTCTTAAAGCTATATCCATCCTGGTCCATCTCAAATTCCATTTTGACAAGGCAGAGCTCCCAGGCTACAGGACGTTTTTCATATGTTAGTCGTATGGGAGAAGCTGAAGTTGAGCCTGCTTTTGAACAATCCACTGGGATCTGTTAGTGCATGCTGCTGGTGTATCTTCTGCGATAAAGTTCCTGAATTGAGGTCAGTGGTGAATAGACCAGAAAAAAATGAATGATATCAAACATGTTGTGATGGTATGGCTCATCCAGGAAGGATGGAAGCAGGTAAAAATATTTGATTGATGCACGGTGAGTTTCTAGTTGTTCATTGAATGAACCCTTTTTTTCTAACCACCGCACACTGGTTTTCACAATAGCTAAGTTTCTGGTCTCAGTTCTGCAACAACCAGAATCTTCTTTCTTTTGAAGAGGTGATGGGACCGTAACGAGAGCCTGAAATCCATTTCTCTCAGTGTTTAAAATACAGCTGAGAATGTCAGCTTAGTTACTGACAACACAGATAAGTCCCTACAAAGGCAACTTTCCCTTTGGTACTGACAAGTACAGGTGGGAGCACCAGTGGGTGCAGCTGAGTGTTTTCATCCCACAGTGACTCCAGCAAGGTCAGCTTGTTGGGAGCCTCTGACCTTGGTGGTGTATCTCATATAGTGCTGGCAATACTGTCCAAAAGGAAAGCTGTTGGCCATCTCTGTGCTGTCACAGTAAGGCCGAGCAGGGCAAGAGCCAGGGTGATAGCTCTGAATGAAATGCACAGGGAGATGTAACCACAGAGCTTCTCTTCTCACACAGAGCGTGCATCAGTATGTGTACGTTTCTATAATTTGCTGCTGCCTAATTTTCCTTCTTCAAAATATCAGGCAATTTCTAGGGCCAGTCAACCTAATCACTTATTTATTAAAATGAGACAGACAATAAGTTTGTACAGGGAAACGTGCCGACAGTGCGCATTGATCACAATGATTTAGGACTGTACTGCCTCCGCAGTTTTTCCAGAGACAAATTCCTTGCAGCTAATTGCATTATAAATTCTCTTAAACCCTTTTCAGAAGGTATTTCCCAAAGATATAAGCCCTCAATAAAACAAAACAAAAAGCAAAAAAAAACCAAGAATGAAAACGATAAGAGCAACGGAAAAGTTGTGGGTTTTTTTTCCCTAATGAAATGTTATACAAAAGTAAGACAAGAGATAAAAAAAAAATATGCAAATAGCGTTAATTAAATGCTAAGTCTGCTGTAAGGGACTGGTCTTAAACACCGTGGGACTTGTTGGAATTCACACAGATTTTCCAGTTGAAAGCCAAGAAAGATGAATCCTGAGGTTTTTGTCTTTAGGTCGAGATGGTTTGTGCCATCCCAGGTCAGGATTTTGAGGCCAACAAATCTCAAATTTGAGAGGTTGTAATTCTGACCTCTCTTGAGTCTTAACTCTGCCGAAAAGGGAGCCAGACAAGTCCAGGACCGCCTCTGGGTGTGCCCAGGGAGTGTGGCAGTGGGGATCAGCCTGTCCTCTTGCCGTGGTGGTCCGTGGCCATTGGGTCACACTGCCTTTAGTGGGCATCCTGAGCTAGCGACGCTGATAGGAATTCTTAGACATCGTGTACAAACACTTGTTTGTTTTCCAGAGAGCACTTCCCCCAAAGACTCAGTGACAGTACTTAGCAAAATGAGTTTTTGCAGGCGATCTCAATCATTTTTATCAAGCTGGGTCAGAAAACACTGAAGCACAGAGAAGTTAATTGAATTTCCCAAGGAAGCATAGAAAGCAACAGAAAACTGAAACCGGCTTCCTTGTTTGCCAGCCTCCAGCACAAACCAGCAGACTCTTGCCTACACTATTTTAATATTTCTTTGGGTGACTGGGAGCAAAGCATGACATTTCTTTTCTTCCTTTCATATTGAAAAATTCTCATTCCTTCAAAGTATTTGTCATTTTGAACATGCTTGTACAAACTCTCTCTTAACTCCTACAAATGCTGTGCTGTAGGTCCAGGCATGGAAAGATCCCAGTCAGACCAGGAGGAGGCTGGATCTCCTCCTGTTTCCACATACAAGATGTTTCATGTAATGCCTGTTCCATAGAAGTTTTTCAGCTATTCAGTAATTAAAGTGTCTTTATCAGGGTACTTTTGCCACAGGGAAGTCTTTCCTCTTTATATCTTACGTAAAATGGGGAGGCACAGTTCCCATGGTAGCTGTAGAGACTGATATTGGATTAGAAGAAGGTATCTTCTTTTCTTCCTCCTCCTCTCCCGCTCCCCATGCAATAAAATTGCTTGATTAAATAGAAACTGGGGCTTGAGCTGGGTTGAGTGTGAGCTGTTTGTGGAACTAAGGTGCAGTGGCTTCCCCAGAAGTACCGGGGTAGCAGAACAGCCATTAGATCCTGGAGTGGGCACCTCATCTGACTCTCCATCTCTCTGCTCCAGACAGGAGATGCGCTCATACCTTCCCTAAATGTGCTGTGCCTCGATCACGAGGATGCTGTAGCAAACAAAGCCTGTGTTGACCCTCAAATCAAAGCAGTGAGTTCCCTACTGTACTGCATGGCAAACCTTAAGGATGTGCATAGGAACATTATAGGTCAGAGACAAGAAGTTGAAGCCAGGAGCTTGTTGAAAAATGTTGTTAGAAATGGTGTTAGAAATGTCTACAACCGAAGTTATAGAGTGTAAAGATGAAAGAGAAAGCTTCATACAATCACTGCTTCTTCCAAAATGGGATTTTATCCTTGTCCCTAGGAAAAGCCTGGCATAGCAATGGGTTTTAATCTGGGGATAGGGGGGGATGCTGGTGTGAAAAGTAACAGTAATTCTTGCAAAAATCAAAGGGGGGAGGAAGGGAGGGGGAAAAACCCCTCTACATTTTTATGTTAAAGGGGTGTTTCTGGTTCTTCTTTTTATGCTGCTGTTGACAACGCTTGTTTCATGGTTGTTGAAGTATTTTAAGTCATTTTAGTTTTTCCAAAAGTGACCATGATTTGTTACTTGTACTGTAGCTGACAGAAGTGACACACTTAATATCGGGGGGTCCAAACCTGGATATCTACCAATGGAGATGGAGATCAGGTAAATGCACACCTGCTCTGCCAAAGAGAAAAAGCTGCCGTTTGGCAGTTGTTTGAGAGGGAACTGCAGGCCGCAATGTGAGCGCTTTGAAAGAGGTTAGATTGAGCACTACCATTAACCACCAAGGTCGTGTAGGCCCAGCATGGTTCTGTGTGACGTTGACGTTCAGACAACATGCCATCACCCGGAGACTGCGGGTCTCTGCAGAGGGCTCTGGGTCGTGGCCCTAGCAGTAGCTGAGTACAGATGGAACACAGTGAGGAGACCTGGCAGGAGCTGTGGTCCCTGCAGACTGCCCCATAGTGACTTCAAGGGGCCATCTTACTCTCCCAGCTGGAGGGAAGGCAGTGGTGGCTGCAGCAGAGGCTATGCTGAAGAAGGCAGGTGAGAGGGAGGTGTCTGCAGGTAGAAAGCAGTAACTGCGTCACACCGTGGCCATGCCTGTCATTCCCTCTTTTCTTTTACAGACACTTAACAAGAACAACTTGATACCAGATGACAGGACCAACTTCTACCCCTTGCAGCAAACCAACGTGTACACGACAACCTACTATCCCAGTACACTGAATAAATATGACTACAGACCGGAGGCCTCTCCTGGAAGGACCTTTACCAACAGCTGATGATGGACAGATCCTACAGGACTACATCACTTCCTATATGAATTTTTTTTATTGATTTTGTGGACCAAATACTGGCCCAGCCTCTAGATGTAAATATTGTACAGTAGGGTCTTTTTTTTTCCTTTGGTTAATTGTATTTCTTGTAAACAGCACATCTCCTTACAAGGACATGGACCATTCTGCAGAGCTTTTGTGGCTGTTTGGTTGGAGATGGCTCTCACTACTGCAACTGTTTATGGCTGGAAGATCAGCATCACTGTCCAAGGCTGATGTCAAGTAGCTGGCTGTGGCCATGCCACCACGCAGCAGTATGAGTGCATGTGGAGTGACACAGGAGGCGGCCTCCTGGGGCAAGGAGCATCCTTCCTGGGACAGAGGAGCAACAGGGCGTAAGATGATGCACAGCGCATGGAACCGACCACGCAGGACTCCGTCGTGCCAACAACTTGAAGAACGTTTTCCTTTTCATTTCCTTTTTTAATTTTGATTATTTTTTTTTTACAGTTTCTGCAGGAAAAAAAAAGAAAAAAGAAAAAAGAAAAAAAAAAGTAACTTTCTAGGGCAACGTTCCTGCATCTTCAACAGAATCTTTTCATACTGCAGGAAATAATCTCCACCGCCTTCTTTGGTAATATGCAATTGAGCTGGTAAGAAACAACATACAAATAAAGTGCATTACCCAAAGAAGCTTTCCAGAATGTTTCCAGTCTTAATTCAAAGGAAATTATACTGGCAGTGAGATACTGAGGAAAGTAAACGTTGGAATAACATCGGAGACATGAACTTGGAGTGCCTAGCAAACAAAGATGTTTGTATCACTGGAAAAAAAATATGATGATTGCCGCACAAGAGCCATAGGCTTTTTTTCTTCCATTCTTTCATTTTGCTTCTGACACAGTGTTAACTCTTTTTGTTCTAGCTTTGATCCTGATTGTGTCCGCAAGGAAAGACAACATTGGAGGCCGTGCTCTTCTCTGTGGGAAATCACCATGCTTTGGGCTAATTTTTACTCTTCTTTTATTGTCTGTTTTTAGTTTGTATACTTTTCAAAGAGTGAATAATTCTGACTTTAAAGGGGAGAGTGTTTTGTAAGGAATGTTTCCATAGTCTGACGTGACCCAGAAAGTCTGCTGCACATTCTTATAGCGTCTTCCAGTCAGTACTCTATGAAATAGTAACACAGCTGAGTAATGTGCATTGTTTGCCAATATTTCCTTAATTTTTCTGAACAAAACCAACCCAACAAACAACTGCTGCTGCAGCTATTGAAGTGAATTGGGGCAGTAGCGTTATTAAACAATATATACAGCCTTGAAATGTAATTTTGTGTACGTGTGTGACTGTGTCTATGAGAACTGTATTATTTTAATGCAGAAGCCATGTTGTTTACAGCCAGATGTTTGTCTGACATAATTGTTTGGCAAAAAGGAAACTTATTGCTGGTGCTTAATGTACAATTACATCAAACGTGTTAGCAACGTGAACAAGTCAACCACTGTTATCATTCAGTGTTTCTAAATATTTATAACGAACTCCTGATGCTAAGGATTTTAGAATGATGCAATACCAAGCATGAGATAAAAGTACACCCCGAAATGCGCATGAGCTCCACGTAGTCCTGAGCTTGGATGTGTTGTCTGCATCTTACCCGGACGACTGCCATGCCCGCGCATGGCTGTCAGCTCAGCTGTGTACTGAGTGTTTTGTCTTTGCTTTCTTTCAGATTTTGCCATAAGTCAACAGTTTCTCAGTGCTCTTCCTTTGCAGTTGCTTGTTGGAGGTCTGGCTGGGGCCATGTGTTCTTCTCTTTCATGCAGATAGCCAGTAGGAAATGAAGAAAGGCAAGTGCATTGCTTTTCCTGCAAGGAAAAGCCAACATGGCTCTATAAGCCTGTGTTACGATTGTTTGACCGGAAGGCAAGCATAAAGTAGCCTCCCACTTTTAAATTTCTTTTTTTTTTTTTTTTACTTCAGTTTGCAGTGATTGAAGGCTGTAGGATATTTGTAATGAAGTGGGGTTATTTGCACTGCCTCAAGGATGCCTTAGGCTTGGTGCTTATCATTTCCAGCAGCTGTTCTGAATCAGCAGCTCACCTTGCTTCTGTTTCAGCTTCAGCAGGTGAAAGAGAGGGAATCAAACTGCCTACTCCCCACAAAACACTGGAAATCTTGGCTGTAAGTCACTCAACAAACATGTGGCCCAGGGGCTGAATGCGTTTACTTTGCGGACTGCCTGGCTGGAATTCTTCAGCTCCCAGTGGAGGAGTCAGAAGAATATGGGACTCCCACAGTCATGCTCACTGTTGTGAAATTTGAGCCACCTCTGAGCTTCCCTTTCAGCACCGACACATTCTGCCGTCATCGTGCACATCACAGAATTGCAGCTGGAGTTTAGGGGTTGTGAGTGAGTCAAATCTTGCAATTTTTTTTTTTTTCATTTTCCATTTTTCCTTTATGTTTTTTTTTTTTTCCTTCACTTTAAGCATTTTTCCATGCTTGGCTTTTTTCCCCAAAGAAAGCTCCCATGTAGCAGTTGAAGTTACTTAAATGTTCAGCTCACCAAGATAGGTCATTACTGCCATTGTGCTCAGAAGGTGGATATTTTGTCAGCTATTGGAGGACAGATGCTTTAAGGGTAGCGCATATGGTTACCACTTCATTGAAATGCTCCTTCTTACCAGCCCTCTAAATGGACCTAGTTCTTCTCTTGCAATGGGCAGTCACAGCAAGGGTCTGTTGGCTCCATTTGAGCAGAATGCAGAAGCCAGGAGAGAGCCAGGAGAGAAAAAGAGAGAAATCAGAGCACTTATTACTCAATTACTGTTTGCATGAGGGTGCAGTTATTTAAGGACCATGTTAATATGATGTGAGGGTTGCATTTTGTTACGAACTCTCTAATGTGTGGCAGGTTAACGATACAAATACGTGACATTCTTGCTGTCCAAGTAATACAGCAGTTTGATCACTAGATCTGCAGTATCTGTAGCAGGTTGGACTCCTCCTGGTTGCTGCTAGAGTTTAAGAGTTCCTAAATTCAGCTTGAACTACACTGGAAACGCACTTAATTGGGACACACTGCTTCCCAATGAAACCATCCAGCTCTCCTTTTTCTTTCACTTCTGAGAAAAGAGGAGACCCCGGGTGGTCACAGGGTTGGTCTGGAGCCATTGGTTCTGAGGAGGATTCAGGCATACAGCGCACAAAACACAATGGACAAAAAGACAGTGGAAGTCTGACGGCCCAACTTTCAGCAGAAACACCTATAGTGGGATGTTCCACACCCAAATATGTGAACTGTAGAGCTAGTGTAGGAAAAGAACGTGTAGTGTGCTACCACCACTGTTCTTAATGCCTTACTTGTAGAAAAACAGATAACAGAGTTTGCTTTTGGAAATCAACAGAGAGCAGGAACGGAGTGCACATCTGATGCAGATAATTTGATGCCCCCAATGTTAATCTGATGCTGAGTCCACCTGGGAAGGAAATTGCTGTCCACTGAGATTGATTTATTCTTTATACCAAATGTAGTGGGGGGAGAGTTTTATATATATATAAATATATATATAAAATGTAAATGTAAAGTTTGTGTAACAACTTGCTCTTTTTTTGTAATAGTGTATACATCTATCAGTGGATAGGTACAGTATATATTTATAATATATACACACTATATATATATAGCAAAATGCCTGCAGAGGAAACTTAAAATAAGAAAGGCAGTGCTGGTATTCAAATGCCATAGGGACAAACTGAAGGAAAAAAAAAGTACAAATCTAGTGTCCTTTCCATTAGGAGGTGACAAAATATGATTTTGAGGTAAATGAAATATAATTTTTTAATTGAAAAGAAAATTGATTTTTCTAGTTAGAGTGCTGATTCTCCCCTAAATCATTCTGGTTAAGAATGACTGAGGAAAGGATTCTCATTACTGCTTATATTTTCTGAATAAGCCTCCTGAATCTCTCATGTGTATCACTCTGTTGTTTTTGTAATTATAAGTAGGGAGTAATTGTGCAAAGAAAATTAAAATAGCAAGTAGAGTAACAAATAATGTACCATTAGAGTAAAGCATAAACTACTAGAACTGGAACAATGTCATCTTCCATGTTAAAGAAGTTAGCAATTGCTTTCTGAGTTATTGATCAGCATTATGAGACTGGCCTTATAGGGACACAAAGAAGTTTAATGCAAAATTTAGGGTCGAAAAACCCTGAAAACCAATGGCTTTTGGATTCAGAGAGGGCTCCAAACAAGGCTGGGGTGCGGGGGCAGCACCCTATGGCTGGGTGCCCCTTCTGAGGAAGGACTGGACTCATATGGGGGATTCTTCCCTTTCAGCTTGTAAGCAGAAAACCTGAGAAGGCTGCAAGGGCAGGTTTGGGCTGGGTGAGCAGATCCACAGGTTTCGGTGCTGTGCTATCGCCTTCAAAAGCGACCACAAACCCCCTTGTGGGGAATGGGTCCTTGTGGGGTCATCTAGCCTCAACCCTTTTGCCCTGAATTCCTCCCTTTGGGCCACTGCTTCTGTTCTGCTTCAGCTGCAAACCCAGTCCTGCCATGGGAGGTGCATGCGCAGTTTAAGAGCAGCATTTGGCTTTCCAGAGTCCCCATCCCGCTTTGTTTTAAAACCAACCCACTGCAAGAAACACAAATGCCATGAGGCTGCAGCTCCACTCCCACAGAGGCTTCAGGGTGTGTGAAGAGTGAGATGGGGCCGAGTGTGTGATGGAGGTGGGGCACAACGGGGACAGGGCTGGGGAGAGACACGAATGGAACTCTTGTCCCAAACAGAAAACCTGGAGCGTGTCGCTGGACTCTGCAGTGGAGGCACATCACCCTTCCTATGCAATTGAACTCGATGGTACTTTAGTATAAAGGTGACCTAGACTGTAATCACTGCCTTTAGACACTGTGAATTTTTTTGGGGTACTCTGTATTTTTATATATTGTACAATGTAAAGAATAATTCAGAAATAAAACAGAACAACCTGGCGTGCTTGTGGGTTATTTCCCTGCTGTGGGGAGCTGCTTTCTGCATGATGCACCCAATGGGGCGAGAGCAAAACTCACCCCAAGTGCAGATACCAGACTTGGGGACATGGGGAGCAGGGCATGCAGCCGTTGCAGGCTGGGTGTGCTGCAGCTGCTCCTCATCCCCTGCACTGAGATGCAAAGGGTTCCAGAAATCAGGGGGGACACGCTCTGATTGAAGGATGATCATGGCCTCTCACTGCGGGATGTTATAGTTCCGCTTGCATTTATTAATCAAAGTAAAGACCATGAAAAGTGACAGAGTCAGGAACATTTTAGTTTATGTTCCGATGCAGCTCGAGACTTATATTGAAGTTTTATACAGAAAATTACACCATAATGTCATAAAAAATAGATTGGATTACTAATAACCTGAAACGTGCTGCACCTGCATACATAATACTTTAATCCTACTAAATCATAAGCTATCATTTGGGTGTTTTCATGTTCTCAAGTGTGCATACAGGAATTTCTTTTCAATGCAGACCATTAAAAAGTAATTGAGAGGCACAAGATCAGTAAAAATAAACTTGCTGTGAATAAGATGATTGATTTTTTTTATCCAGTTTGCACCAAAACACAGAGGGGGCACTTCTGAATGGTTTTGTTTTGTAGCGAGACACCTCTGCGCACAATTAGAGCAAAGCAGCACGTCGGAGCCCACTTTCAATTTCCTTGAAATCTGTCTACCGCAACATTTTTTCCTAGGTGATAATTTGATTCATTAACATAACAGCTTCACTTGCAGCCCTGGCACAGTTTGCTCTCCCACCATCACTCCACATCCCAGCTGTACCAGTTTAGTTTTCAAGTTCTTACCAGTGTAGGAAGCAGGGGTGCTCCACATTCAGTGCAGAGGCTTTGCTTGGAGCAGCAGCTGTAGAATGTCCCAGCACAGGGCTGTTTAGGGCTGAGCACGAAGAACACCAACAAAGGAGAAAACAGAAGGCTCAGTGCACTCCATTTCTACGTGCCCTCCAAGCACCCTGCCAGAAATGCTCTGGGGGGTAGATCACCCCCCACACACACCCTGTCCCTCTGCATAAATCCCTTTTGCTGTTTCCCCCTCTTTCCCCCCGCCCCCCAACAGGGAACTCTGCTGAGTGCTTTGTAACCACTGCAAAATGGGTGAGTAAAGGTGTGTTAGCACCAAATGACATTATCAACAAACTGTGCCAGACCAACCTGATGTCCTCCGCTGAAGAGGCCCCCGAGTCCTGCCTCTGCTTCCTGTAGGGACAGCTGTGGCAGTCGAAGATATCTGTAATGACACAGTGCCTACAGGTCTATGGGATGGCTCCAGGGGGTTCTGCATCTGACCTCACTCCCATGTTGTCCATCCCAAACTTCTGGTCAGAGGCCCCAGACCACAAACTCCTTCCTGCACAGTTCCCAGTGCTTCTCCCTCTCCAGTGTACGTGCAAGACTGCACGCTCTCAAACACACAGCTCAATTACCAAAGGCTTTGGAGAGTCATTAAAAATGCTGTTTTGCTAACAGCTGAAATGCATTTTGACATGTTTTCTTTAGTTCATTCATAGAACTTCACTCGTGTGGAATTGTCACTGCACTCTGCTTAGCAGCCAAGCTTCGGTTAATCACAGCAAGGCAGCTTTCAGGACTGCCCCACTCCACTTCCAAACACCAAAGCCCCACCACAGCCACCTCACCTCATTCCCAGCACTGAGGTGAGGACAAGTAGTGCCCTCCTCCAGTCATCAGACATGGGGAGAACCACAGAGCCCACAGCTATTGCCCACTGCTGGGGGAACTGCAGAGTGCTCCGCTTCTCTGCACCGGGTAATGAACCACCTCCAGCAGCACCGTTTGATATTTCTGTGATGTGAAGCATCAATGGCCACGGAGAAAATCATCTCTGCAGTATTTAATTTACTGTCACAAGCAAGCGCTGCGCATGAGAGGCAAAGCACCGATGCGCTCTTATTGCTCTGGCAGCAGCCACGTTATTGTTTTCTGCTTTCAACATTTCTTAGCAACCACAAATTTTTCATAGGGCTCTTCACGGAAATTCTCTTTTTGCTGCACCCCATTTACATGCTCATATTGCTGTTGGCTTCACTTGGACTGGGACCTCCTCATGCTGTGGGGCGGCCACGTGGCAGATGCCAATGGCTGGAAAGATTAAATAAAAAGCGGGCAAAACATCTCCCAGAGCAAGGCTGAGCAGAGAAGGCTTGCCAGCTCAGGTCTGAGCCACGCCCTGGCCCTAATCCCTCCAGCACAGACTGCTGCAGCACCGTGGCAATAAATGCGCCTGGGAGCAGTGTGGCCTCCAGCTCCCATATATAGGCTGGAAAGAGGTTGCTGCTAAGAATAGCTGGGCCCAGCTCCTCCCCACCACCAAGGCTGACAGAGATCTTCCCGACACTGAGAGGAGGTGATGCTATTTTAAACTTGTCCGTGGCTGGGATGTTATTGAAGAGCCAGTCCTAGAACATAAACACGGATCCCAGTTGGGTCTTGTTTCAATCAGGTGAAGAATAAACACGAGCAAAGGGATGATGAAGGGTGGCCCTTCCAAAATAGCAAACCAGACGGCTCCCAGCATCTTGAGACAGGAAACCAGAACCAGAAGGTGATCTCTGCCCCCAGGGATGGGGCTCAGCCCTTCACACTGAGGATGCTCCACTGTGCAGCGGTACCTGCAGCACTTTTCATTGATTTTATAGCAGAAATAAGTGATTCCCTTGGGGAGCCGTATGAATTAATGAACACTGATGGCAGCACAGCTGAGTGACTTCTTTAATGTGCAACAAGCAGTATGTAAAGAGACACGCACATCACGGCGAGATTCCAGTGTTAAACAATACAGAGGGCGTGTTACGCTGACAGGTACATGGTGGCTTAAACATTATTTTCTGCAAAATAAAAAGTATTTCACATCAGAATATCACATACAAAAAGTAGAATTTGCCCTAAAATAAAGTTATATTAACCCATTTTAAAAAATTACAAAAGTAAAACGCATGCCAACTGCAGTGAAGTGGGTCGCAGCAGGAGTGCAGCTCAGGACGGAAGGCCACAGGGCTCAGGGCAGCCCACCCAGCACATCCCTTTCTCCCACTGACCTCCCTGACCAAGCCCAACAAACCACTCGGTTGAGCACGAGATGCTCCTAACATACCAGGATCCCAAATGGAAGGCAGCAGCCAGCGCATCTGTGCAAATATTTGCTTTTTGCTGCTTGTCAAAACTTTGGGCCAAACTACATTTCCTCCTCTATTTATTAGTTTCATCTGCATTCAAAGACAAACTGTAAAAATTACAAGCAGATTGACAACATCTGATTTTCACTGCGTCTGCTGCCTCTCACGGAACCCGGCTCCATGCCCTGAAGTGATGATCCCTGGTGAAGTGAGCAGACTCTCAGCTGCCTCCGACACCAACTTCACAGCAGGAACAACCGCAGCCCCACATGCATCCAGTCAGAAGCAAGTGCCACAGCCTGGTGCTTTAGGAACACTTGAAACAGCAACACTACCACCAAATCCATATACTTGATACAAGACCCATACAGGTGTAACCAAATCTTGCCAAATTATTACCAGAATCCATTATTACAACAACAAAGAAAATCTAATAAAATAAGCCCTGAGTGCTTTTGTTTTTTTTTTTCCCTTCAGATGCTAATTGACATTTGAATGTGATCTAAAGTAAGAAATAAGGATTAACAATTAAAAATCTGCTGTCAGAGCAGTGCAGGACAGCTAAATCCATTGTGCTCATCGCATAATCCCTGCTCATATTCCAGTCAATCCTCACAAAGAACAGCACTTCCCTTCCCAGTAACAGCCAATATATGAATACCAATCCAGTTTATTTATTTTAGTGTCTAGGCAATGCATTACTATAGGATAAGCCAGAGATTAATAGCTCTCTCAGCACAAAACTTCACGTTCTATGGGGATTTGATCAACTGACAAGGTACTGCAATGCTGAAAGGCCCTACAGAAACCCCTCCCTCCCACATCAGCCTGTCCCCTCAGAGCTACAGACACAGCATGGGATTTTCCAACCCATGTGAAGGTGAAGACGTCCCGCTTTCACGGATGGTTTGGAATAACTCAGCAGATGCTGTGAACCTAAGTCCACACCACAAGTAAGCCCTATCTGTTTGACTTCTCAAGTGCAGGAGCTGGGAGCTCTTCACCACAGTCCCTGCACTGCCACCGTGACAGGGAAGCACGAGGGAACTCGGCAAAGCGATGGATTCAAAAGGAAATTCATGGTTAAAAACAGCAAAGAGACAGTAAACAGCAGCATAAGCAGAGCCAGCTCCTACTAAATCCATTAGCAGTATGAAAGCTAGCTATAAAAAAGCCAGCAGAACCGAATTAAGAGTTATTAGTAAGGCAAACAGAAACAGAAGAAGCAGACCAGAGTATAACTACTTGAAATGAAGATCTCTTAAAGAGAAGAAAATGACCGCTGTGCTCCTTCCCAGCATTTTCAAAATAAAATGTCCATAGTTATGCGTATTTTAGGGGGCTCTGCACTGCTGGGTAAAATTGCTCTTCTGGGCCATTAAGAGAAGCAAATAGAAAAAATAAGAAATATCCAAGAAATAATCCCAAAGCTTCAGTTGGGTTACTAACACAAAATGGACTGCTCCGCCATAGGATGCTGGTCCTGACTTACCGTTGTTGGTGACCATCAGACACCTCAGCAAGCACATTCACAGTCCCCACCTCCTGTTCCAAGCCAGACTTCTAGTCTAATAAGAGCACAGCACCTGAAGACTGCATGTCTGGAATACAGGGTACTCATCAACTTGAAGTCATGTGGGTGCCATCCTTTGGCGTTCACTCCATTTCCATCAGATTTCAATCCGATTTCCATTAGATGTTCTGGGAATTCAGGTTGAGGCCTGCAGGCACAGCAGGTCTCCAACAGAGTCTTCTTGCACTGCTCAGCTCTGGGCAGCAGTTTGGTTTTCTGTGCAGAGGTACTGAGGGCTGTAATTAAGACCACACATTACAGTGCCCAAGACAGATGCACAAACTCTACAAAAGTTCAGGAGAAGAGTGAGTAATTCACAGCAAATCAGGAGAACACTCAACAAGGTTTAAAACAAGACCTTCAGTCTCCCTGACAGTAAGAGTCTGGATCTGGCAGCACTGACAAATATTTTGAATTGTTCACTGCTTTCTGGAACAGAAGAGGAAGAGGTTATAGTCTGAATGCTGCCTCTGGTGCTCCTCCATCTCAAAATAGTCTGGACAGCAAAAAGATTAGAAACCTCTGTCACTTGGGACAGTGCCTGAATGGTACAATTTTCATCTTAATATAGCTACAGTAAATTGCAGAAGTAGAGCTCTGAAGAGCCATCCACGGGTGCAATTCTGCCATGACAATGCAACTCCAATCAAATTCTTGGCAAGCAATCCTAGTTTTCAGAAGACAATAGGTAGCAGCAGCTACTGGATACTGAAACCATTCCAGGCACTGAAAAGTAGTAAAAAGAAGCAGGGTGGTTAATACCATCCATCTGAAAAACAACAAAAGGAGATGCCGGTGGTTCGGAATATGATGGTTAGATTGATTAAGTTATCTCTACATAGGTCAGCTCCATTGTCTGCAAAGAGCCACTTGCAAAGGGAAAAAAAGATCATTTAGTAGTCGGTACAGGCAATGAACTAAGTCAATTTTCTGTTACTTACTACAGTAAATGCATCCATTGCTCAGAAAACATAAGAGCAGCTGCCATGAGACAGCATGCTTTATTTTGCTGCACAAATACACTCCTGAGTTGAAGGTATTAATGGCGTATCCTCTCTGCTAAATGAGAAGAGAATGAATGGATACATGTCTGAAAGGTAGTGCTCAGATCAGGTTTTATTTGAGTGAGTTTACAGTGTCTGTATCACTCAAGAAAGACAGAGAAGAGCCCCACGTAGGAGCAAAGGGCGTTTGATTCAAACTTCTATTGACACAGAACTCTGCACACCAACCTCCTCCAACACGTGCATGCGCTCCGTATTATAAAACAGCTACAGTAGGAAGTCATTCACCCCATGAAAAGAAAATTCATGTCACAGACAGCCCGTGTGTGTATTTTCATTCACGGCAGTGACTGGCTTAGCTACAAATAGTGGCATACCTACCATCCAGAGACAGGAATATTTAAAATAAACCTATGTAAACACATACCCTTATACAACTCATATATATATTTATAAAGATATGTATAAGATATATATAAGTTATATTTGTGTATACATAGATATAAACATGCAGACACACTCGCACACCTAACACAAAGCACAGCACACACATACAGGGAATATTGTAAATGATGATGAACTGAAATATAAGAATAGAATTAAGAAATTATTAACAAGTTTAAAATTGAGTTAAAAAACTATTCCAAGTGTCTTTAATATTTACGTTCAAGTAAGGGCCACAATGACCACCAACTAGTTCTGATAAAAAGAGCTGGCATTATGTTTCCGTGTTATGCCAGAACTCATGAGATATTTCTCATTGTCATTTCGCTATCGGGGTGCCCCAGCAAACTATAAACATATTTTAGGAAACTGTGATTTTAAAGACTTGGATTAACAAACAGTATTGCTTAGGCACCCTCGATTGTAAACTAATCCTAAAAAAACATGCATATCTTAAGAGTATCAGAAGAGAACGACCAGGACTCAAATCCACATCCACACCAACAGGACTTAGCGGTGTGAACAGGTCTTCACAGTAGAAAAGAACAAAAGGCAGTACTAGAGATGGAGCATGAAGAGGTGAAACAGTGGCGGCTTTTTATAAGTTTTAAAACTGCAAAATTTACCAAAAAATGACTCTACAGTAAACTTCTGAGGTACCACAGATGCTGTGTGCCCATACAGAACCATGGTGGTATTTCAGAGGCAAGTGTTGTGCAAGTCACGTTCAGTGGCAGCTACAGCTATCGTTCGGATTATACACGCACCAGAGTGACAAACACACACCTAGCAGTGTTGCAAGGATTGTTTTGCTATTTAGTATGGCTAAAAGCCCTGGTACCAATGTCTTATATCAGAAATCACTTTATTAGAATGTAAATGTAGTGTACAGCACCAAATTATTTTAGCTTAACTGTTTAATGGACACAGTATATAAATAATTGGCAATTTAGAAGACAGATCTTTAAAAAAAAAAAAAAAAGATTTCTCCTCTTTTTTTGTCCTCCTTTCCCTTTT